TAGATATTAACTTGTAAGTTATAAAATATTCAAAATTAAATATCATAAGCAAAGTTATTAACCATACTCCGTAATAAGAGAGCTCGACCAGATTATTTAATTTTGTCACACAATTTTATTCGTCTATATTTCAAATGCACCTTAGTGTATTATCGTGGATAATTATAGTTTTTTCATTCAGTAAATTATTTTTTTAAGCCATAAAGAGGACGCTCTGGTGTTTGTTACGTGACTACTTCAGCGCTTTTCGTATTATTGAAAAAATTGCATATATCTTATATGGCTATTTGTCATTTGTATAAATGTTTTCTTACGTCAATACGCACATAGAATATTATTGTCGTTATCACTCTGGTCCCGTCGCAACTATTTTTCATTGGCGTGTCCTGATAACGGTCACAGTACTACAGGTGCGTACAAAAACAATACACGCAAATCAGGAGGAAGACGTATGCACTCTGTAGTTTTGAAAACTTTGATAAATATGTTTACACTAGACGAGGACAATCGAGGGTTTCTCTTTTAGCTTATGGACAGGCAACGAAGGAGTAAAATATGCACGTTCATATATCACCGCGACGCTATAAGATTCGCATGGTCGAAGTTCCTTAGCAAATGAAACCACTCTGACAGGGTGAACACAAACCGAGAGCATTGTTCGCCTACTGGTATTTTTTTTTATACCTCGGAGAACATCGTCTTCTTTTTTTTTTTTATCAGAAAACGTTGTTCAACCGATCTCTTACAACGGGCGCGTTTGCCTATATGTTGTTCACGTGAATTTAATCCACTAATGAGGTTAATTAAGCCGTCTATATTATCCACTAAGCTTCTAAGTACGGAGTTAATATAATAAATATTGAAAATGCTTCTGTGCGCGCATCTACCACCACCAACACCATCAGATAGAGATCATCGACGAGCAAGTTTATTATGTATGTATACAGCTGTATAAGCGTTCGACGACAGGGTACAAATACGAGTTGACCGCGTAAAAAAAATAATAAAAAAAATACACGGGTTAAAAAAAAGAAAAAACAACCAGATCATGAGAGAAACCAGATTTCCCATCGAGATTAACGCCATCGTCGTCGCTGTTTTTCCAGAAATCGTACATGGGCACGTTCTAACTGCCTTATCACAGGTATATGTGAACCCAACCGATATACTTCTCCATTCCTCCTCAAAATTCCAAACGTTTGCTAAATACCGAATCAATTATTTAACGCTTAAATTTTATTGAGCATATAAAAACTATAGCCTAATATAACAAATATATAATCGGGGCGATTAATTTATCATTGACCGCTAAATTTCTTCAGAAATAATAATAATTTTGAAAAAAAAAAATTATTAATTTTATTTAGTATTATTTAAACCTCGAATATAAATATATAGAAATAATCTAAGGTTTGATATTTATCAACCAGTCATTTACTTATTAGAAAATTTTCTTTTGTTTAAACTAGTTAAATATGTTTGTTGCTTTTTAAAAAAAATAAATCGGTTCTCTTTATAAGAGACGAGGGATGGATGTAAAAAGTATTTAACTATTTAAAATTTGAGAAATACTACTTAAATAAGCCAAAAAGAAATCTCAACATTAGTATTATTTAGAAGAAATCTATTGATCAACAATAAATCAATCACACTGTATATATACACTTTCGGAAGGCCATTGCAATCATTGTTTCATTGAAGGACTTTTACGGCCAACCCGATTATCGAAGAGTTTTAAAGATCTTATGAACTCGAAAGCTGTATATTTAAATATAAAGGCTATTTATTATTTTTACTAAATATTAGAAACTTAATGTGATATAATAAATCATTAAAGTGGTTTAGAAACTACAATAATAACGAGTACCTTAATTTTACTAAATATTTCAATCATAACGACTCAATGAGTTTGGAGGCAACTGTGCAATAATTTGCTCTTATTAAAACAATAATATATGACATTGAGTTATAGAAACATTGTGCCGAAATCGTTTTAAGCCAGACCCGATGGGTATGAACTATATATTATATTATAGTGTCCTGTTTAAAAGTCTGTTGGTGGTCTTAGCTGTACCGCCTTAATATTGTTACAGTTTTGTCTTTATACATAAATTCGAACATAGATGAAAATCATTCTTCTATCAGAGTTTTTAAATCATTTAAATTTTTATCGAACACCAACGAACAAATTTTATGCTGATGAACTGAAAATACACATCCAGTTAAGTAAAATGCGAGACAATTTTCAATATGATTGTACCAAATTAACCATGAATGGGCCATATTTAAACATAAATAGTTAAACTATATGTTTAGAATTCATGATGTATCTTTAATCGGAAACGGCTTACTGAACGTCCGGTTAAAAAGATTATCCAAACGTACCCCGAAAAGATATTATAACATCGTTAAGTTGTTTATCCGGACTTCATCTCTACACGTCTTTCACTGCCCCGTCTTGTCCAATTAGTATTTTTTCTACACACTATTTTTTCCCACAGTCTAAAATTCAACAATGTTAAACTTCCGTCTCAAAAAACATTTTAGAATTTTTTCCCACCTCAACGAGAGTAACTGTAACATGAAAAGTTAACCGTTAAACATAAGAGTAATGACAGTTAGTCTCGTTCACTACCCACGCAACTAGATATTTGCCTTTATTCGCAAACACAACCAAATTTCCATATACATAGCAAAAATATTATTAACGCTTATACCTCATATAGTATATTTTCCCTGGAATTCTCTTTAATATATTCAACTATCCAGTGGTTCATATTTAATGGAGTATGAGTACTGATTTACATACACAAAATGCAAAATATAAGCTACTGTTACTATGAAATACAGTTCACACAAAATGACTACGCATAATTTCAATCTTACACCTTTCATCGGTTATATAATAAAAGAACCAAAAGAAATATACAATTAAATTAAAATACATAAAAACTACTATACGTTTCTTTAAAATACATGATAAGATTAATACGGTAAAATTATTTTAATTATTTTTTGCGTTGTATTTTTAATGATATATATATATATATATATATATACAATTTTCAAATTTCAAATCAAAATTTCTCAACTCTATGTTAAACTTGTATAATTTCGTCATCATAAGGGCCGGCGAAAGGGCGGTGCAATTGGTGCGACCCCGCAATTTGTTCTACCGGCACTAGTCATTATAAATTTTCTTTGCTGAATTTCTGAGAAGTAAATGTTTGACGATAGGAAGCCCACGTTTGTTTTCGTTCACACGGTTTTACAAAGATAAAGCAAAAAAAAAAATTGTTTTCCCTACTCGTATTACCGCTAAGTGTTTTGTGGTATATAAAACAAGCCAGGCGGATAGCACACCCGCGGAGAGAGACGCCGCCAGAAAAGCGATTATTTATTTATTGTACAAACAATGGAGATTAATGGCGTTTTTATGTACGCGCGTGAATAACGGAAAAAGATCTTGGCTAACGGCTGAATTGAACTTTGTGTGACTAATATCAACCGCTGGCAACGGCATGGCATATTGGTAATTGCAATTTACAACGTGTGTGTGTGCTCGCAATCAAAACAAAGTTCGTTGCTTTGGTATCGTTTCTGAGAGTTGTGGACACACTATGAATATTATCCGATTAAATGATTATGAAAATATTCAAATGTGGCGTGAAAACGATGTAATTTATGCTAAAGAAATAAAATCGTTCCATGCGACATCGTACTTTTCAAATAATTACCGATAAGTGTTTTTTACGACTCGGAGTAGTCACCCGCTGAGTTATGTACATGAGATTAATATTGTACAAACGCTTTTGATTTTTAATCAGTCCGTGTATTTTTCTTCGCGTAATCTAATTTATATATATATATATATATATAAAAATCTATAAAGATGTATCAATTTTGGTTTTCGCGCTGTTATAAGATTACGCAGAGTAAATAGAATCCGCCGGGTTAAGTATACCATGACGTCTCCATAGAAAAAACACTGTCCAATTGTAATGTGTCTAAATTGGAGATGACAATCGGCTGCGGTCCGATTTCAATGAGTACAAGTCACGTCGCGTGGGTCCCAGATCGAGCTAGAGCCGTTAAAACGGCCATAAGGGATAATCAGAGCACGTCATTGATTTCGAACACCGGATTACACGCCCACGCACACCATGAATGATAACTACCACGACACCTTTCGGTAGTCGTCACGACGGATCTATTAGGAGTAGCCTCAAGCGTTATATGGTAGCTTGTACTACACCTATCATAATGTTATTATTATGATCCATATGGTTTACAAGAGCACAATACTCCTGTTTCATTATGACATTTTGATTTTCATATTTATTGGGTGGTGCTAATCGTTTTACTTGAATAGGAGGCACGTGCCCCCATAGTTATCTCGTCGATAATGCATCTCATAGTGATACATCATTGTCACTGAAACAACTGAGTACAAACTTTTTAAGAAACCATAGCGATCAACAACAAGTATCAATAAACTAGCTATGTTGCAAAATTGTAATGAAATCGGTTCGAATAATTCAGTGTTATTACTTATTACAAGCTCAGTCAAAACCTTATTTAGTCTATTACGTTAGGGCGAAGACGACCCCGAGGACGTTTCCCTGGCACTCCTCCTACAAGTCCTCGAGCGATTCCTCCGAATATCAGCCGGAGAAATATCATTAAGATCCATAGATAAAAATCCTATGGGCGTTGATTTCATAAAGCACACACGTAGGACGAGTTATTTTTGTTTCTCTTGTAGATCCATCTGCGCGTTTAAATATAATATTATGTATTACGTGTTAGTCGCTCATAGGCATTGTCTATACAGAATTGTCTGTCGTTTGGATATTATACTCAAGCAATATTAAATAATTTATCCATAAATTCGATCTCATCCTGAATTTCTTTAAATGTTAATCATATTCGCTATAGCATCTAATTTATGTCTAAATAAAAAATGCAATTATAATAACTAACCCACGTATTTTGTGCAGGAGGATCTTCTAATACACGGCGACAGTGTATACGATATGATCGACAAGCAGGACCACCAAGCTGTACAGACAGAACTTTCAAGAAGTCAGACATCTGCAGAAGACTTAGGTTGCAAACGAATGTTCTTGTGTCGAATGAACGTCTCCAGGAATGCCAGAAGACAAATGAGATTCGGTGACCAAAAGGTAATAATTTTCAAAACAAAAGGTTCTTTCAGTTTTTCATCTTGTTATTACAATTAAAGAATGCTATTGAGTTCTTAATTTATAATACTTTAATAAATCCGAATGATTTATATCTGTTTATCATGACACAAATAAATTAATATACAAATTATGCACCTCAACCAATTTTTTAGGCTCTAACGCGTATTTGAAATAAATTTATCATTTTTACCAGAAATAATCAGAAATTTATACATAGTTTATGACTTAAGAGGCCGTTTATTTACAGAGGAAAAGTCATCATAACTTTAATCATATATTCCATTAAACAAGCTTTAAATAAAAATAACTTAAAATGATCCAATTATTTCATTACTATGTAACAAAATCGGCAATTTTTAAAAAAAGTCATATGATTTTTGGCTTCAATATCCAATACCTCCTAAATATTGAGATTTTGTATCATTTTTTTCTAGATCTTAAAATTCATTGTATTAGCACAGCATCTTGGTTAATGATTGTTTTTTTTTTTTAAATTGACAACAAAATTAACATCTATAGCATTATTAAAAAAATTTCTCATTATCCGTCCAATTTTTAAAAAGCTGTTTCAGTCCAAATTTTAAATATTAGCTTAAACTAAATAATATGTAACTCAAAAAATCACAATAAAACCATTTTTGAACAAAATAGGTCCAGTAGGACCAGAATAATCGTTTGTATTGACAAAAAAAATACAACACAGTGTAACCAATAACTTCTCAGATATGCACCAAAGCTAATATTCATAAAAATTAAATAAAAATATAATATAATACTACACAGATTCATTTTAACTTCAGGTTGTACTTGTACAAGGTCACTACTTATCCTATCTGCCTTTATGCAGCAGAAATGAACCCGTATTCCTAGCTACTTGTAGTCCGGTAGCGATGCCAGAAACCAGGGAAGCCGTGGTCCAAGGTTCTACCACCGTATTCACAGCAATCCACTCAATGGACATGAAGTTTATACATGTAGATAAAATGTGAGTAAAACATATAGTTCATTAGAATGACACTCTGTCTGATCTTACAAATTTGCGTTGACTTTTTATGAATCTTATTTGCACGCATGAACTATTAAGTTGCGTGATATTTCTTGAACATAAAAATTACGTTTTTAAATGTACTTTAAACAGCTTCATTGTTAGCATTAAATATACAAATTATTTGAACTGGATTCTTATACTCTTTTTGAATTATTCATACGCTTCGAGGTTAAGACTATAATGAAACTATCTAGATGTATTTTACGTAAATAAGGAACTTCCTGTGTGTTTCAATATTATTATAAGTGGAAACAAAAACATTAGTCAAAAAAATCATACAAATCACCAGAAAAATATTTTGTCAGTAATCTTGTTAAAAAATCATTATCGAAATATCTGTCTAAACTAGCAAAAAATCAATAATTAAGGGTTATAATGATCTATAGACAGAAATTCCGATTGTCGTACCGCCTTCAATATCGTTGCGGCTGGTCGGAACTAGAGTATATTTTATTACTATCAGAACGAGTATGTCATACTAAAAGACTACAAGAAACAAGGCATACGTGTAAGTGATTAGTAACAGTTTTGTTATAGCCGCCACAGTTGTCACAATCTAAACACAACTATTTGTCGGGTGTCCCCGTCGTGTGGGCGAGATCTCCCGATGAATACCAAAACATTTTAGTCGGCATCAATCTTTCGTCGCGCATCCACTTCGCATTAATCACGTCACTTAAGTGTATTATTTTTTTTATGACTATATAATGAGAACAAAATGATGAATTTCGACCGCGTCGTATCCGCTGCCCTCATGTGAGCTCTTAAAATAAAACTAGATTAACGTATATATAAATAAAAAATATATATACCATACTTCAGTCGTTAATAAAACACACTAACTATAGGCACGTGCCGCATCTCAAAAACAATATAATAGTATTAAAAGCTCATTATGTGACTCTTGGAGTGAAATTTAAATTCAGTTACAAAATCAGAGTTGAAAAACTCTATAATAGCACTAATGGCTGAAATTTACGGCGATCCACTAAAAAAACTTCAGAATTGTATAAGTAAATTTAGAAAATTTATAATCAATGTATTAATATATTTAGACATATTTCATGCGAGATTAAAAAAGAGAAATATCAGCAGCTTGTCGTCTAATAGCTCAATACATAAAAAAAGTAATCATTTAGTATGTATTAATATTTGAACTAATCATTATAAATTAAACTCTTTCAATAATTTGATAACAAAATTCCAATTATTGTGGTCCGACACATACTGAACAAGAATTTCTTCGGTTAAATTATTAATAACAACGTAATGGCTTGTGGTTATTATAAACTGATAGGCTATAGCTTGTTTACAGCAGTCGTATACTCACACCGGGGGCTACGTTTTTTTTTTTTTTTTTTACTACAGTTGTTGCGAAACAATCACCCCCTCCGCCTACGCGCAATTTAGATAAAATTACAATAGATGAAATAAAATACATGACTTTCTCGATTCGTAACACGCGAGTGCAGCAAGAATGATCTAAAAAACGAAATCTCGATATTGATCACAAACAACACCAATACAAGCTGACCCGTTTTTTTTCTGTCCGCATACACTTACAAAATAATACATGTATAAACCGTGTAATTTGTAAGGTATATAAAAAAATATATCACTCGAAATTACATTCCAATGGGTTGTATAGAAATTATATTACACTGACCACTAAAAAGTTGTTATCTATAGCGCATTCTCTATTATTGTTGGTTTTACGTGAGCATTGGTCAATGAATGATCATTATTCGAATTTTGGCCATCTTGATAATCGCTATCTTATTATTTAATTTTTTATCTTTTATTTTTTAGAGGAGAGTTTCACCTAGGGTTTTCTCGTGCTGAACTTCAAGGAGTTTCATGGTACCAATTGCTACACTGGGAATGCATGCGAGAAGCCCAAAGCAAACACAGACTGAGTGAGTATAATTTAACTACATATATACACTTTAATAAACAAAAAAAACATGTGATTAACGGGCTAGAGGCGTTTGTACAGGAAATAATCACGGAAAGGATGTAATACATTCATAAAAGTATATACGTTAAATGCATATATAATTACCAGCTCTTTTTTGTGATATATGAACTCGAATAAATGCTGTAATATACTAATATATTAAATCGTTAAAAAATATTTAAGTACTGTTTTATAACCTACGATAACAGTATAATTATAAAAATATGGATGTTGTGTATTGTTTGCAGTAACACAGTCAGAACAAGATCGATCTTGTATACTGCTGGCCAGAATACAAAAGAGGACCACAGGAGATTGGCTTTGGATACACTGCGTGTTGCAGGTCAAAGACAACATGGAAAATAGCCAACAGCCAGTCATCGTCAGCACTAATCAAGTGCTTACGTAAGTAAACTGAATGCCGATACATTTTTTTTAAAATGTTATTCATTTATTGTAATTTTGCAGCTCAAAGAAATTTTACAATGCCCTATCATTATTATCACTGTTTTATTAATATGATTTTTATTTTCCATCTCTTTAACTAAACGCATATTTCTTTTATAATGAGGTAGAAAAAAGTACGCAATAAAAAATATATTTTAACTACATAGCAGAAAAACTGTACTAATTATATAATATATAATGTATAACATCAAACACTCTGCCAATAAACTATTATAACGTACAAGGCGATTCCGACTGATCTACATGGTAATATTCAAGTTATATTGACATACAAGACTAACTAAACGATGTCATTAATCCGATGTACCGTTCATTTGAAAAATAAAAACATGAGCTCATTGACACATAAGTGATATATTTGGATTATTAAGTAGTTCATGGAACGCATTGTTTGGAATGTATTTTTAATAGAAACCGGAATGAGTATGTTCATGAACGTACATCTAACAAGAAATCTGAAATCATTTGCCCACATAACTTTAGGACAGTTGGATTTCTTAGTCTACCTGAAGCCAAGTCAAAGCTTTAACATTTTCACAACTAAACAAAATTTCATTACATAGATATTGAATGAAATATTATCAAGGAATTCTAAAATGACACAGTTCAACAACATGCGTTGATCAAACCGGGGCGTTAAAGTCTCCGATAAGCCAGTTGGTCGCTTCTCGATTCAGCTGAGCTGAATCAGCTCGAGTTATAATTATACAGAACAGCAATTATAGACACAATACGGCCGTTTAATTTATGCGTTCATTTATCTGCAGGCGCTTACCAATAGGGTACGTTAAACACACTACACATTCATGTCGAAATGTATAATAATACACAATGTTCCTGAGTACAATTATTTCGCCATGGTATTATTTTATTATGCGTATAATTAATATCGTGTGTCAAAGAACGTTAACACGTTTTCATACGGCTTGTATACACAGCACACATCCGATAAAAATATGAAAGATTTATTTCGTTTAAAAAAATATTTATTGACCATCGTCATCCGTACGCGTTTAACACAAACGACGTTTTTAGCTGTCAAACCTCTAACTTTTCTTGCTCTGAATAATTTTTTATAATAACATATGTAAAACGCGTATGATAAAAATGACAACGTTCATAACGAAGCATTAACGATCCAAAAGAATTTATTGAAATATTTATACGTATTCCAAAGAAAAAAACGTTGAACGTACAACGCAACGAGTATTGGACACGATGTGAATGATTTACACAAACAAATAATAAATGCAGTTGTTATATGTACATGACTTGATTTGCGGTTGCAACGAAAACTTTTATGATATAGAAATAAAGTTATAAGAGAAGTAACAAAAATAAATGAGGTACTTAGGAAAACCATGTTAATGGTCAACATAAGTTAAACGAGAAGGATTAGGAGAATGTGTGGTCGGACGGCGGCATTAGTTGACTTACTGTTAGTGCTGCTGTTGCAGGTAGTGACAAATTACCCACTAACGACGGGAGCGAATGGAAACTGCCGTTGTAAAAATTGAACGATATTTTACCCATTTGTTTAATCTGTAGCTGTCACCGAAAAAACTAAAAAAAAAAAAAATTATATTATTGAAGGTCTGACTTATAAAATAGTACTACTAAAAAAATGAAAACAAATTGAAACATATTTCATGTATTAATAAGACTCTGTGTTGCGCCTACTACGATGATATTTTATATTTGATCGTAAAAATAAATAGAACAAATTATACATCATAACTTGAGACAAAAACTGTTCTGAGAATTAATTTTTACACTACAAGAAACATGTTTACTAACTACACAGGAAATGAGTTTCCAAAAGCATACTACAAACATTCGGTTACAATTAAAATTACCATTAAATTCACGTCAGTTAATTATTTAAGAAAAATTTGAAAGTCATATACCAACAGAAAGAAAAATTTAGATAATGATTAAACAATTTTTATTTTGTTAGAGAGGATAAAAAAACATTTTATGTATACTATCCTTTCATAACAAAATTTTACAATTGCCACTGTTTCACATTTAATATATAAGAGACGCGTTTAGACCAGTTATTTTCTACATTAAATATACTCTTTCATATTTTTCAATCAAAACTAATCAACCTTATTAATTACAAGAATTTTAATAGCCCAACGTAATAGTTTATGATGTAATATAATATGTATGCTGTGAAATAAATGAATCGCTTTAGATATAGTATATGTTTACGGCTTAAGTATTTCCTAAACTCTTGATTATTCTAACTTAATGGATAAAATTCGACTGATAACGCTATTTAATATATGATTAATACTGAAATATTTAACAGATTACGATTAACTTACAATTATTAATCATTTACCTAAATTAGAAAAAGGAAATACCTAATAGAATTTATTAAAACATTGACACATAGAAAAAACAAATAAGTAAATTTCTACAATTTTAACTGCGCATTGAAAATATATTTAATATAATACTATGAAACAATACTCCTCCTTCTTCTTCTTTTTCCTCGCCTTAATCCCAACTACTTGGGTTTGGTCACCCTTACCCTAAACTTCCATTTAACACGATCTCCAACATCACTACGCTCACATCAGCCGTCCTCATATCGTATTCAATTACATCCCTCCATCTCATTTTTGGCCTTCCTCTACCTCTTCTTCCTTCAACAATCATTTCTATAATAGTTCTTAGAGTTTCCAATTCCTCTCTCCTCTTAACATGTCCAAACCATCTAAGTCTTTTTTCTCTCATCTTATCTACGATTGACGCTACACCTATACTCCGTCTTATATGATCATTTCTTATCCTATCTTCTCTAGTCACTCCACTCATCCATTTAAGCATTCTCATCTCTGTTACACTAATTCTCTGCTCTACTTTCTTGTCAACCGCCCAACACTCTGAACCATACATCATAGCTGATCTCACTACAATCTTATAGAATTTACCTCATTGAAATTCTTTTATCTCACCTGTGTTCTACATCCACATCAAAATCACATGTGCTCTTTTGCACAACTGATCCTAAACACTTAAAATTTTCCACATCTCTTATCACTTCCTCGCCTATTATTTTTTGGCATATGTTGAAATAATTTTATGATTATACTAGTTTTTGAGCAAAAAAAAAGATAGGTTATCAAAATTTTTTTTACTTTCATGTTGCAAGAACGAAATTTAAACGTAAAAAAGTTATTTATTTTCTTTTAAATTAATTTTATTTATAAAAGAACATTAATGTTTAGCTAAAAATTCCAAGTAAATTATATAATAAAAGAAGAAGTCCGTCACTAAAAATTACAAAGCTTATGCATAACAAATTGTCGTATTTTATTATATCAAAAATAAAAATATATAATATATTATAAAAATAAGTAAAAACACTAAAAACATCTAATAAAATGTTAAAATTAAAAAATATCTACGATTTTCGTTGGTGGTAAGACAATCAAAGCTTTTTATAAATCAATATTATTTGCATATATATTTTTCCAACTGAATTATTTAATTCACTTAAATTTTTAATTATAGAAAATATTAGAATTAATAATTTTTAGTTTTAACATTTAAATTTATTTAATAGCTTACATATGATTTACGTTTAATTCACCATAATTTTTTTTGGTTTATTAATTATGTAATTAGTAACTCCATAGCTTCATGATTAAGCAATTAACAATTTTTCATTTTTGTCTTTAAACCAGGTAGTACGTCTTTTTCGATTATCATTCAACAACATTGTTTTATTATTTTTATTATAATTAAAGTAATTTATATACCGTGTCTCCTTTGTTTTTTTTAATTATTTATTAATTTCATGACGAAATAAAATAAAATTTCTATTTATCATTAAATACTTTGATTAATATGAAAATATATAATATCATGAACAAGACTTATTAATATGATATAAATAATACTAATACCTAGATGGATTTACATAATTGTTGTAGAAGATAATAACAGGTCTAGCTGCTCTTTGTGGTCACTTGTGTACCTTAACATATGACCAAATTTTTTCATAATTTAGATAGTCACATAGAACATACACCATGCTACATGCAACAAATAAGGCAGTAACTCAAAAAATTCGATTTTGAAAAATTTGTACTGAGGTTTCACTCTTCTTAGAATAACTTTCATCGAAATGTCGAAAATCAGGCATGAATCGGAATTAAACTACTTAAAAAATTGATAAATATATAGGGTGTAATTTTATTTTCTATTTTTAAACTCTTGAAAAATGAGTTACTGTCTTTTTCAAATCAATTCAAGATTTGTACAAAGATAATTATCTTAAATTTAAAGACTTTTTTAATCAATTTTGATCGTAGGACTAATAAATAAAATATCTTGATTTATAATTTTTTAATTTATCAAGGAATATTATCTTCTCTTACTTTTTCTTCGCCTTATTCCCAACTACTAGGGGTCGGCCAAATACTAAGGAATATTATAAATTTAAAAATAAAAAACGCGTTTAATTGCTAATTAGTTTTTTTTTTTAGTAACCGCCGAGTGTTAAATCATGAAATGCAACCAACAGGCTCTTAAAACTATATTGCTATACAAATACGAATACAAGTCCATAGACTATTATTTTTATAATCAATACTCTGATACCTTATACATAAATTTTAACAAAATTATAAAAACTTAATTTAAAAATAATTGTTTGAAATTACTAATTTATTATTCGAGATTAATAACTATTTAAATCAATACAAATTATGTGCTAAGTAATATTTACCTAATTTTTAACACGAGTTAATACGCCTGACAAACGCTAAGTTATGCACATTATATATTAGGAGGACATTTCATACATCATATTTTAAATAAAACTTAGATCACGTCTTTTTTTAAAAAAAAAAAAGATTGTCATCAGTATATTTAAAGGTTTAAAACGTTTTAGTTATACATTCATTGGGTAATTTAAGATGTATACCAAGTTTAAAGAAGAAGCGTGGTCTACATTATTGTACTTAACGGATATTAATCGTAAATTTGCCTTAGGTCGTTAGTACGGTCACCGACACTTTGCGATAAGTTAAAAACCCCTCCCCCTAGAATATTATAACTATAACGATAGTAATTATTGTTGTAGAACGTGTGAATACTGTAACACCTTACGGTCAACACAAAATGTACCCTTGTCGAACTCATCGTCACCTCCGCCCGCAACTCTACAGAGGAGCTCGATAACCATAATTCACAAGGCGGGTATTTTCAACATACTTATTGATGATGGACCGTACTGATAACCGCGTTCCAACCATGTGAAAAACGCGCGTGCCCATAATATAAAAATACGGTCCATTTATTAAAATGTAATCACCACCGACGAGGTTATCACATGAACTCATGTATACATATTATTAATAGAAGATATTCTTAAGACAGCAGTTAATTATTGCAAAAATACTAAAATGAGTTTCCGAGGAACGTGCACGATAGCCAACAGTTAATTACCACAATTAAGAGGTCGTTCAGAATCGCCATTTTTGCGTTACTCTTACCTTTTTTTCCACCACAAATTTATGGTAATGTCGACACCTGCAATTCGGCATCAAGAACGCTTAACAATATTGTAATTATAACTGAAAAACAATCGATATTCGGATCTGTACCGCACGGCTATTATGGTATACGCCCATTCAGTCATAGGCCTTATTATACATAAATATAAGAGCAATGAAATATAAGGCGTTTACACCTCGACCACCACCAAATTTGTAATTATCGTTGTGTTCTTTCTTAGGTTTAGGGATCATATGATTATTGAATACAAGATAAACAGCAGTTGCGTATCGATTCCTAATCGTGTAGTTATACAAAAGCTCCAAGTGTATTCAATACGTTAATTTAAGTACTTATCAAATCAGGTAATGGGCTGTCCTTTTAGAAATGTATTAGTAGATGTATAATACTAGGTTCTCACGGTTTATTCGGACGTTTTTTAAACATTCACAGCGGATTCTGCTACACATTTTAGATGACTCAGGTTAATATTAGTACTAGTACTATTATTAATATTAGCATTGCATTATTATTATAGTAACTCCGACAACAAGTTAAATCCTAAAGAAAGCCCTGGGACATTGACAGATACAGATGTATAATGTTTGAAATTTCTTAATAGAAAGTTTCCATGTTATAAATATGTAAATAGTATATTATGTACATATATATATACAGAAGTTTTTTAAAGCACTACATTGTAAATTAATATAATCAAAAAAAAAAAAAAA